GGTTGGAAAAGTGGGGGTCGTCTTGTACATGGGGGCGTCTTATTGATGGAAAAATATGGTAATAGTTCTCATTGCCCTTTGGATAGGTAAATTAATTTCCCCATGCTACATCATCTTCCACTATTACTATAGCACACAGTAAAAGGCTAAGAAATGTGGCAGGGCATCTGTCCCCATCCCCACCTTTCCCTTGTGGACTGGACGTGACTAGTAAATGGAGGGCTTCTGTTGGGTTAGCATCTTATGTATGGAACTGAGACAAATTCTCAGCCTGTCGTCTCATCTGGAAAAAAATCCACAATGTTATTCAAAGATACCCTCTTTATCCTTTGCAGGAATGTTGAATGTCTTAACTTGCTGTTGAGCAGCGGAGCTGACTTGAGGAGGAGAGATAAGTTTGGAAGGTAAATGTAGAACACTGTGTCTTTAAGACCCTGGGTGAGGAAGAAGTGTCCAGGATTAAAAGCCATGTGCTGGGCCACCTTGAGAATGTATTTGGAAGTATAAAAGGTTTTGTTAAAATGATACTGAGATTGAGGTGCTCACTTGCATGTATTTTTCTGCCTGACTAACCCTCAGTGCTGTGCTTTTGGGAGTTGGAGAGTTGGATTTGGGGGGATTCTTCATAGTATGTTGCCTTTTAGTTTGCTGATACAACACAGTGGTAGCAGTCATTGCAGCACTGGATGCAGTGTCTGCTTTGAGAGTGGCAGGACCTGAATTTAAGTCCTACTTGGCTCATTAACTGACTGGATTCTGGATCTGTAAAATGGCATTTGTAGAACAACCTTTAAAAGGTTGCTTTGAAAATAAAAGTATAAAATCGTGCAGTGCTTTTATTGTATTGGAGCAGTTTTAAAAACAATGAAGTTGATTCAGACTTCTCATTCCTTCAGTTTATTAATAGGAACTTGAGGAGGAGAGATAAGTTTGGAAGGTAAATGTAGAACACTGTGTCTTTGAGACCCTGGGTGAGGAAGAAGTGTCCAGGATTAAAAGCCATGTGCTGGGCCACCTTGAGAATGTATTTGGAAATATAAAAGGTTTTGTTAAAATGATACTGAGATTGAGGTGCTCACTTGCATGTATTTTTCTGCCTGACTAACCCTCAGTGCTGTGCTTTTGGGAGTTGGTTGAGTAGATGCCTCGGTTTGGCCCTGTTCTCTTCCAGTCCGAATCAGTTTGCTACATGAACTGCCACTGAGTTGGTGAACTGTTGTGACCTTCTTATTTGTCAGACAGCAACAGTGTCTGAAGCCCCCTTTCCTGCTTTTTTTATCCAGGACTCCTTTGCACTACGCAGCCGCGAATGGCAGCTATCAGTGTACAGTGACGCTAGTCACTGCCGGAGCCAGTATTAATGAAGCTGACTGTAAAGGCTGCACCCCCTTACATTATGCTGCTGCTTCAGACACTTACAGGAGGTAGGGAGAAAAAAAGAAGTAGGTATGCCTTACCTGGGTACAGTTAATTTCAGTTTTCTCATCAGAGACTCCTTCAGTGGAATTAACTTACTTTGTTTCTTGGCACCTGGATTTTAGGGTTGGGGAAACAATTCAGCACTAAAGCCCTCACTGGAAACGCTGTGAATCAAAGAATCAGTCTATATGTTCTTACTGGGCTATTTAGGGTAAAGTAAGTCTTGAGTTTTCCATCTGGTTGAAGTATAATGCCTGTGGCATTACCTGCTCACATGTTTAGAAGTCTAAGCACTACAATCTAAATCAAACTCTAAATTACTGCTGATTATAATTATGATGTAGATCTTAAAATTATAATAAGTTGGAGGCAGTCGTGACTGTGCTTCCTGCTTTTAAGATAGACTTTAAACTTTCTATCTAAAGAAAGCTCAGCTTTGATTCTCACTGTGTTTCTTGGAGCATATACATTATCTTAATGTCTATAAGCCTATCCTAAGGGAGGTAGAAACTGATGAATCATGTCTGAAAGATAAGCTTCTGTCTCATTGCCTGGGATTTCTTTCAGTCTCATTTGGGTACTATTAATTTTTGGTGAGATTCATCTATGTGAAATGTGCAGTTCAGTAGTCCATTAAGCTATTGTAGTCATCAGTCCTGATTTATTTATTTATTAAATTTATCCCCACCCATCTCCCCCTAATGGGAGACACTGGGCAGCTCACAACTCATTAAAACAATAAATAAATATACAATTACATAAAACCTAAAACCTGTATAAAATAATCACTAAAAAAGAAAGTCCAGGAGGCCAGTGCTTCAGAGCAGCAAACGCCAGGCCTCTAAGGGGCTAGCCATCCCCACACCTTTATTATATATTATTCTTTTTAACAAATTCTCATACGTGATTATTATAAAATAATTTTTGTACTAGGTTCTAAAATGCAGAGTTTTACTGGATAACATGCACACACAGTCTATCTCTACTATATGTTGGCAAAACTAATATAGGTTTCTGCTCTTGCAGAGCTGAGACTCATTCAGGAAACAGCCATGACACTGATGAAGAGCCACTGAAAGAGTCACGACTGAAGGAGGCCATCTTGTGAGTTGCTCGTCCTAACTCTCTTTGCTATCCAGTTGAATAAACTTAGTTGTCTCTTTTCTCCACATTATTTTTAATGCAACACAGTTAAATTTTTAAGGCTGCAAACACAATATTGGACTTCGTTTTCAAGTTGCTTTGGAAATTTTTGGCCATCTGGTGACTATATATGTTAGAGAACACTCATCTTTTGGAGATTCCATTAAAGTAACCTACGTTGTTCAGCATTCAGCTTATGTTAAATAGGTATGGAAAATGAGCTCTCCAGATGTTCTTTTGCTTTTCCCGCCTCAATTTACAAAATAACCCTAGACAGATTCTTTTTCATAAATGTTCATTTTATGTGTGTGTGTGTGTGTGTGTGTGCACACAAAGACACACATGCCTCAATTTTTTCTTGAATGGATTTTTGTAAAGTGTCCAAGTATCAATTTGCTATAAAACAAGAGTTAAAGTAAAACTGCATTTTATATGTGATGCGGTGGTGATACAGGAGAAAACACAGAAGTTTCTTTCCTAGGAGCTTCTTATGGAATACAGCTATTTTTCTTTTGTCAGGCTGTATGTTTCCTTATTACATGGACGCAAGGAGATACCTTCTTCATGTGGTTTATGTGATGGGGTTGTATGATTTAATGACTATAACCAAATCTGGATTTCAACAGAATGTTTTAGAGCTTTTACATGCATCTGATTCCTGGGTTCATACAGTTATATTTATTCCAGTTGTTTGGAGTTCTTACTGGATAATGGTGCTGACCCCTCTCTCCGAGACAAGCAGGGATACACCGCTGTCCATTACGCAGCTGCCTATGGCAACCGACAGAACCTTGAGTTGGTAAGCTCGAACTGAAACTTTAACAATTGGACTTTGAAAGTGAGAAAACTTCTGTGGACACTTGAAAGGGTCATACTTGGGGCCCTAAATCTATATTTTTTCTCTGTTGGTTATTATATGGTTGGTTTCTTGTAGGGTATTGGGAACTATCCAGATTAGAGACAAGTGTATTCATGCTGAGATACAGAAATCAGAAATTAAATAAACTCTCAAGAGCTAGACAGTAATCTCCAAGAATGCAAGTAGACTCTTTTTTCCCCAGTCAATTTCCCTTTATGCATTTAGCAAGATGATGGCAAAAATTCTTAATATCTGGCAAATGAAGAATTGTTCCTATTAGGACCAGTGGATGCGATGGGAATCTTGAGCTCCTCAGCTGTCTTTGTTGTGACTTGTTATTCAGCATAACATGATTTCAGCATCATTATTGAAATGCAGTCAGATAGTTCCTATTGGAATTCCAACCAAATATGCTCAGGATTGTGGGCGAGTGTCCAAGAATCCCGTATTTCTTCATCAGTGAAGATGCAGCAGAAAATGAAGTGGGGTAAGAGAGAAAGCACTGACCTTGGTGTTCAAATCACAAGGTCTGCATAACCAGACTTCACATTATTGTAAGACTGATTTTGCCATATGAATTTTTTCAAGTGAATAGCATAGCTTGCTTGTTTTATGCGTAGGCTTGAATGGAAAAATGCAGTTCAGGTTTTATTTAATTTTGGAGAGGTTTTTCTTAAAATGAATAAGTGAATTAGTGTGATTGATTGGGTAGCATCCCAGTAACAGTTTTGCAGATTCCACATACAGAACAAGTCTGGCATGTCCCCAACTTTCTTACGATACATAGGTATGAAGAATGTTTTAATGGCTTAGCAGGCATTTTATGAAATACTAATAATGTTATTAATTTTACAGTGCTGGGAGCAAGTAAAAAGAGAGGGTGTGTGTATGTATGTGTGTATTATATACACATTAAAATTAACAAGTATAATAATGAAGGAACAGAAGTATAAGCAGAAGCACAGCTAAATATGAAGACCAAGAAAAACAACAAAATACATAGCAATGTGCATGCACATCTTCCTATTTAAAGCATACATATAAAAGTCTTGAAAATTCCTTGAGATTAATCTGGTATGCACAATTCAGTATAGATATTTGCTTTTCAACCACATATTTTCCCATTGTTCCATCTGTATATTATAACCAAAATTTTTAGCCCACTTTATCATACATACTTTCACTTGTTCTGTTTCAAATTCCAATAGAAGTTTATACATTTTAGCAATTACATGTTCATCATTGGTACATAATTCCATTTCAAACTGTCTTACAATGTTCAAAACTGTAAATTCTTTTGTCTACTTCAAATCTTTCTAATAACTGTAAATAAGAAAACCATTGGCAACTATGACATAATTCCATTTCAAACTGTCTTACAATGTTCAAAACTGTAAATTCTTTTGTCTACTTCAAATCTTTCTAATAACTGTAAATAAGAAAACCATTGGCAACTATGTCCCTCTGCCATCAGTTCTAGCATCTCACGATAAGTTAGCCTATTATTTCTCGTCTATAAAATGCTTATTGTACTGAGAGCCACAAAGGTGTTTTTGGGCACAACCTGGATTTGTATCTGTTTCATATTCTCAATATGGCATGTCTAACTTTTTAATTTTTTTATCATTTTAAAAATAATAACAAAACAAGAAAAAGGAACAAAACACAAAGATAATCGTGATAGAAATGCATACATTGTCAAAGAAGAAAAAAAACATATAACAAGTACTTTAAAAAAAGTAAAAAAACAAGAAACAAAGTATAATATATTGTTATAACAGTAAACAGTTTCAATTCTATATATGTTTATCTAATACAAATATTATGCAAGTATATATATTTATTTCTAATACACATGTAACTATTATGCTTTTTTAAACCTATTGTATTTTGTATAAATGAGTCCCATATTTCATTATACTTGTCCATACAAAGTCTGCATTTATAGACAATCAGCTCATAGGTGGCAAGTGTAATCAGGCCTTCAATCCATTGAATGAATGTGACCATGCATTTATTTTTCCAATGCTGCAGTATCAGTCTTTTGGCCATAGTAAGGGCACAAAGAATCCATTTACATTGTCCAGTTGTCAGATTCCATGTACTAGGAATGTAGTTCAAGAGAATATCATCCTCTGAAAATTTTAATTTTTGTCACACAGTCGCATTTACAGTAGGGCAAAAAAGTATTTAGTCAGCCACCAATTGTGCAAGTTCTCCCACTTAAA